ACCTTACTCTCTGAGACAGGGTCTCCTACTGAACCTGAAGCTCACTGGTTGGCCTGGCAGCAAGCGCCAGGGATCTTGCCATCTTAAAGTCCCCCCAACCCTGCCATTTTAGGAATGTACTACCATGTCTAGCGTTATTTAATTTTTAAAATTTTGGTTATTTGGCAGTTTCATACTTGTGAAAAAACAAAACAAACAACAACAAAAAAAAACCAAGTTTCCGTGCTTTCAATTTCTTTTACCCCATCTCATCCTCCACCTCCTCTGCCGGAAGCACTTCCGCCCAGCGAGCCTTTCCTTCTTATTTTCACATCTTTTGTGTGGTTCCCCACTAAGGTTATGCCCCTGTGAGCAGGGGTGAGAGGTTGTTTGCTGGAGCCTGGCACTTCATCCGTGGCCAGGCTACTGAAACAGCTTTCTCCATAGGTGCTAGGGACTAGAAGTCTCCTGCTTGAGTGACAAACACTTCACTGAGAAGCCACCTCCTCAGCCCTCCAGGAAAGGAAACCATTTCTTCATTCCCTCTTGGGGGTGCTTTATGTCATGTGTGTTGAGAAATGAGTTTGACACACTGTAGATAGTTAATTCTTGCTAAATGAGTAAAAATACACACACATACAAAATATATACATAGTGACCCAGCAATGAAGGCTATGTTGAGCTGGCTCCCTTCATCTCTGGGAGGAGCTGCTTTGAGGGGAAAATGCCTACAGCTATCGGAGCCACCGGCTCTGAATCAGGCCGACAATTTCACAGCTCAAGACCAGATGTGACTGAATGTGCTGACAAAGAGTGAGGTTCTGGGTCAACTGCTGAGGTTTCCAGATCAATTTTTAAACTGTCTCCACCAATTGGGGCAATGGCACTGTCCATAATGTCTCAGGGGAGGTATTGATCAGAAAACAGAGGCTGACATAATTTATCCCAGCTTAGCAAACTATCCGTGAGGCAGTCTGCTTCTTCACTCATCTCTTCCACCCCTTTGTCTCGCCCCGAGGAGTTGAAAATATTTTGGAGGGGAACTGTGGGAATCATCTTCCCTGGAACACTGGCAGATATTTCTTAATTCCATTAACGGAAGCTTGGTGCCAGTTCAACACGCTTTGTTAAATATTGTCCTAACTTAACTCTTGCCTTTATTCTCAGCATTCCTTTGGCAAAGAGTGCACAATCCTTGTTCCCTGCGAACATGTGAAGAGGCATCAGGCATGAACTTTCCCTTTATCTGGGTCTTATCTGGGATATTCTGAGTTTAGAATGACTGCTGACCCTGCTGTCTTTCAGAGAATATTCAGGGATCAACTCCAGATTTTTTTTTTCCTATTTGCAGTAAAGAGCTGTGGTTCTGGAAAATTTCCTATGCTCATTCTTTTCAAACTGAGGAGTCCTGAAACTCAGTCTATAGTGTGCAGTGACTGAAATTCCAGCTATCTTAACAGAAAATCAACAAAGCAGGATATATTTTTACATTGCTAAACAGACAAAAAGCAGTTGTTTCTTGCAGGTGTGGGGTGCACACGTGTGGATATGCTACCCAGTACTCTTGCATAGCTTTTATTTTTAACTAGAGAAAGTGACAGAAACAAAAGGAAGCAAGCAAACAAACCAAGAGCCTGACTTCATTAATCCCACAACAGGAAGAATAATCAGGCACATTCAGCGGCATTCCCTCTATTTCCTTTATGAAAATAGGTTTCAAAGGGAAAAAAACAATTGAGCAATTTGTTTTATACCAGGGCCACTCTTGCCTCGCTGTTTATTCCATTTCTGCCCACCATCAGCTATATCCATTTTGACGACAGAAGCAAAATAATTGTTCAATCTGAACTTTTAAAAGAACCACAAACTTTGGTACCTTTTCAGCGATGTGCTTCTGGCCCATTCTTGAGGACGTTTTCTCACGTGATAGCAACCTTTATGAAAGACTCCAGATGCCTGGTGCATGTGAGCCGTTCTGTTACTTTACATTTGGAGCCGCAGTGTGTCCTTGGCTCTAGCAGGAATGAGCTTCGAGCATGTAGGATAGCATACCCAGTGAAGGGAACTTACTCTTCCTTTGGTAGTAAGCCTCCAAACAACCTTTCTGCTAAACAACCCTCACAGCTCCCCTTCAGGTTCTGCAAACCAGAGAAAGGAGTTTTAACACTCAAGACATAGAATGTGAGATCTGAGTATGCAGAAGGAACTTGAGAATCCCACAGTGTTTCAATTTCTTACATCTTAATGTAGTCCACTATGTACGTAGATAGACGGAATAGGAGGTGAGAAACATAACGGTATCGTGACAAACGTGGAACTGTGGCTAGAACCTCAGTCTGAGTGTATCAGGACAGCGTAAGCTGGATGTGTGTTTCAATTCCTAGATCATCGATGGTACTTTGCCCAGCAGAGAATAAAGGGGAAATATAGTCAACAGGATTTGAATATGACTCTTGAGACTTTGATTTTTTTTTTTTTTTGACATAAGATTTCTCTGTGTAGCTTTGTGCCTTTCCTGGAACTCACTCTGTAGACCAGGCTGGCCTCGAACTCACAGAGATCCACCTGCCTCTGCCTCCTGAGTGCTGAGATTAAAGGCATGAGCCACCACTGCCCAGCCCGACTTCGATCTTTTATAGTTAATTCTCTCCACTGAGCATAGGTGGTATCCTAGGATCTAGTTAAATGTCACTCCCGAGACCATATTTTGTATACAACAAAACAGTTATCTTGTTGGGCCACATCTAGTCACATCTCTAAAGGTGCTAACTAGGAGAATGGAAATGTGAGAGGACTTCTGAAGGGATCCAAGTGGAACCTCCAAGAGAAAAGCATAATCCAGGGACAGTGAGCAATGCCCTGGGAGGCTTGGGTCCCACAGCTATGAGGGAATTCATTCTGGCAGGAACTTGAGGCAGGTTGGAAGCAAATCTTCCCCTCCTGCTGCTTCTGACACTCCCATAGGAGTCACATGGGATACTGAGAAGACAGTTTAGCTCAGATGAGCATGGATGTCTGACTCACAAGAGATAAGGTGTGCACTAAGCCTGGGTAGTAATAGAAAACTAATACAGAGACAAGTCCTGTCGAGATAATAGCAGGGCCGCCTTGCAGGCGTGAAACTCAGTGGAATGTGAAAGGATAGCGCTGCCCCTGTGACTCGTCCCGTCTCCTGTGGAGAAATCACAGTGAGAGACGGGACATCAAGTTGGGTGGTTATACTCGGGAGCTGGCTAAGCACAGGGAATAGTGATTATGTTTTTTAAACAGAAATGGTAGAAATGTGAATTGGAGGAAAGCGTTATGACACACAGGAAGAACAAAGGTAAAATTGTAAAAAGGAAGGAGGGATCTTCAAGAGATACTTCAGTGTCCAACCTGACTTCGGGGCCTACATGTCTTCACCCTTAGCTCACATTCCTCCAAAGCCATTATGGATAAGGCCTTAGGAATTATCTGATGACGGAAAGAACTGAGAAAGCATCCAACTGTCCAAGCGAAAATTGGCATTGTGTGAGACAAAGTTGAGTTGTTTCATTTAACTCCCCTCTGCCTGAGAGCAGATAAATTTGACTGATCTGTGGCATTACAGAGTTCCTTCTCTTTCCCTTGAGATGGGGCCTCATATAGCCCTTGCTGGCCTTGAACTCTCCATGTAACGGAGGGCTTTGAAGCTCCTGATACTCCTGCCTCCATTTCCTGCCAAGTTTATGCACTCCTGGTGATGGAGTCTAGCCTTTGCGCTTGCCAGGCAGGCATTCTACCAATGAAGCCACATCCCTATCCCCACAACATTGTTTTTAACATACAGATAGACTTCAGATTGAGACATATCACTCACCTAGCCCCTGCCTCTGGACTAACAAGATGTTGCAATTCCCAAGAAGCAGTGGAGGTGAGAAAGGACAGTGAGCATATAACCAGGTAATTGGCCAAGGGGAGGGGTAACTAGGGTTCCATCCTATAGACTCCTGAGTTTTCCTATTTCACTATCCGCAGCGGGTCCCGCAGATGATGGCACGCGTGAGGTTTGGAGATAGGATACTTCCAATGACATGATCCCAGGAGGACTTACCCAAATAAGAATTTCCAGCTAAGTCTGGACACAAGCAGGCCACTAGAGCATCTGAGTGTGTGAGTACACGGAGGAGGAGTGTGTTCATGCGTGTGGGCATGTGTGCGGGCCGGAGGCTGACGTCTGAACGTCCTCCTCGGGTGTTTCTTTGACTTACCATGTGAAGCAGGGGCTCTCTCTGAACCTGAACTTACTGCTTGCTGTTTCCACTGGACAGACTGACAAGCAGCTGCCCCCTACCTCACGCCCCTCTTCAGCCCCCAGTGCTGGGGTGACAGATGTACAACACCAATTCTGTTCTTTATTTCCCGGCCCTGGTTTCCTCTCTTGCACAGAAATGGAGTATAGAGTCAGCTGCAAGGTTTCATCCAATAGGAAGGCTTCCCATCTTTTAGCATGTAATAGTTAGGCAGCTTTAGTACAATTCTGATAGTTCTGCAAAACAGACTCACATTCAAACGTAAAGAGTTATTCTTTCTCTCTCTCTCTCTCTCTCTCTCTCTCTCTCTCTCTCTCTCTCTCTCTCTCTCTCTCTCTCTC